TGAGGAGATGGAAAAGAAGAGGTCAATAAGCAAGCTGTGAGTGACAGGACAAAAGGGAAGATGCACTGGAGGTCAGGCTGCTGGGTAGGAGATGATTACCTGAGCCTCTTCAAACTCACTGCAGTATACAGTGGAGGCACTCGTGGAGGCTGTGTCTGGGAAGATCAGAAGCTACTTTCCTGTGTGTCTCTTTCATTTTCATTTTAAAGCATGCATGAATGCAGTGGTGACACAACTGTATGACATACTTTGTATTATTGGAGAGATGTGTATATTTAGCATAAATGAATATATAAATTCAAAAATTACATTCTTTCTTTCTATAATAAAGTTGGATAATAGGAAACTAGTATTTGAAGAGTACTAAAAATGCACTTGTTCTGATCATTTTAAGGTTAACTACATCAGGAGCATCATTTTGTGTTACAAGGTTGGTTTCACTGATTAGATTTATTATAATGGCTCCATATTACCAATAAAATAAAAGTAAATAATATTAACATTGTAAATGCTATCCAGGTGTGGTGGTGGACTCCAGTAATCCCAAAACTCAGGAGGCTGAGGCAGAAAGGTCTCTGAGAGTTTGAGGCAAACCTGGCAACATAAATGAGTTCATAGCCAGTCTGGACTGCATAATTAGAGCATGAATATATCTATAAAAAACAAGAAATAAATAAGTTAACAAAAAACAAAGCAACAAACAAACAAAAAATCAGTACACATTAAATTTAGCTTCCAGAGCAGGAAATATTTCAAAACAGAAAGCAAGGAAAAGTTTCAGAATGAAACAAACAACACACTGATGTGGCTATTGTGAGATCAAGAATCAAATGAAACTGCCATCAAAAGGAAAACACTTGATCAAAGTGTTTAAAATATAGACAGGAAGGGAATGGAGAAAACCAAAACAACTATCAGAATGGAGCAACAGAAAGAAAAATATCCGGATCCACAAGGAAAATAACCTACAAAACATACCCTCCTCTTTTAGGACACATATTTAATTGTCCTATGTAAACATTTTGATTCTTATCAATTTTCATACCTCATTATTCAAATCTTGAATAACCTAATAAATGGCTGCTACAAGTGTCTTTTTTGGTGTAAAGTTGATAAATAATTGATGATCTGAGAGTCAAGTAATGCCTAAAAGACACCAGCACAGGAAAGAAAATCGAACTTAATAGTTAACAAGTGAGAGAATCTATTTTACATGAGGGCCACTTTAAAAGCAAGCAAGAAAAAAGTAATATAATATATACTCATGAGAGTTAAACAAATTAAGCTGGAAGGTTACATTATACGATTGAACATACTCAGTCATGAAATATGATTAGAAATAACACATTATTCCCAGATTTGCTGGATTGGGCCACCTTAAACTAACTTGAAATAAAAAGCTTGGAGGTTCCACTCTAGTGAACATAGTTTGTTGCTTGGTCTCCATTCTTTCCTTCTTTCTTTCCTCCAACCCTCCTTTTCTCCTTTATCTTCTTTCTCTCTATCTTTTGTGAGCCAGGGTCTCACTACACAATTCATGGTGGCCTTAAAAATCACAGCAATCCTCCTGCCTCAGCTTCCTGAGTGCTGGGATTGCAGACATGCACCACTATGCCTGGCCTCATTTCTTCTTCTGAGAGGGCTTCTGCCTAAATCTGTTGCCCAGGTTGGTCTCAAACTTCTAGGCTCAAGCAACCTTCTTTCCTCAGCCTTCAGAGTACTGTAGCTGAACTATAGGGGTGAACCATGAAGCCTAACGTTTTACTGACACTTTTTAAAAATCTAAATATTTACACACCAAACTGTAACAATTATTTTCAGCTTTACATATTCCTTTCAGGCCCTGATTAACATTAGTGCCAGTTTTCAGAATTACACTTAAAGAAATAGAGTGGTATCTTGGTTCATGAATAGTTTGGTTTGCCAGTAGTTTGGTTCACCAAAAGAAGTATTTGCAAAAATTTTTGTTTGTTTTCAAACTCTCCTTTGGGCAACAAACATTGCCACCATGATAATTTTTTGAGTTTTTTTTTTTTTTTTTGAGACTGGGTCTTGCTATGTAGTCCAGGCTGAGCTTGGACTGCTTATGTAGCTGAGGGTGGCTTGAATTCACGGAATGATTGCCCTGACTCAGCCTCCCAAGGGCTGGCATCACAGGCATCTATTATGCATGAACACAAACATGGTTATTTTCCCAGGAATTGTGGAATGAATTAAATTCTTGAACCGAGGCACTACTGTATTATTTATTTTGTCATTGCCACTGCATAGCAAACTTGTTTTTCTATATAATTCATACCCCACTCTCAGTTTCTGACATGTATCTTTGGATTCCTAATCTAATTTACCTTGAATTCTGATAACTATTCTTCCACAACAGCATGGTCAGATCCAAGCATCTTCTACTTTCCATCTGTGTCTCTAAAATTAAAAACAAAAACAAAAACAGCACTTTACCCAAGAATAGGACTGCATGACACAAACTACTAAAGGTAGCAGTGGATGCCTTTTACAGAAAAGAAACTCAGACATTACTGTTTTAGTAGGAAGACTGGCTTTTAGTCTGAAGTGTAATTGTGTCAAAACACTTTCAGAAATAAATTCTATTCTTAATGATACCTTATATTTGAGACCTATGTTCCTAAAATTTTCATATTTTTCACATTTTCCCCTTCAATTTACTTCAAATTGAGAAGTAAAATATGCTGATTGAAATTAAACTACACTGTTCAAAACAATCACAGAATTTTCACAAGCAGAATGTGGTACACAACATAGAACCAAATGACAAATTACAAGTGATACAACTGGATCAACTAGAAAGCAAGTCAAAACCTCAGCAAGCTGATAGTAACATGTACAGTATACTAAGGGAGGCTTAATGGTGAGGTACACCGATCCATTATCTAAAATGGAAAAAAGTCCAAGTACAAACTGTGCCAATTGTACAGTGGTATATAAACTGTAACTCCAAGTAAAGATTATGTAAAATGTGAAAAACCATGGATGCATATACTCACTGAACCATTAGGTCTCTGAGGAAAGTCTGCATAGCTCTGAAAAAATATAAAATGCGTTATTACAGTGTTGGCTCTCAAGCAAAGCTCTGGCATTCATGCCTCTGAATAGCAGCTCTTCTGTTCCTTCTTACAGTTGGGTTTGTGGTGCATTTTCAGCCATCTTTTCTGCCGCCTAGCTGTAGTCGTCTTGGGGTAGCCAACCAGCTTCTTTGGGTGCTGCCTTCTTAGGGTTTTGACATGCCCAGTGCCTGTTCCTCACACACAGGCACCTCCAGGTGATCCTATTCATTGAGCTGAGTAATTATCAATCACAAGCTTCCCTGCAGCACTCAGGTAGGAGGCTCCTTTCTCCTGGCATTGTTCATTACCTTTAGCTATCAAAACTGCTTTAGTACAAGCTATTAATGAGTGACACTCTACTTCCAATGGTCATGGTGATTAACACTCTCTCTTCTACTTAGGTGACTACGTAGATGAAGAAGAATGTCCCAAACAATGCAATAATAGGGAGCTTAGGAGCAGGACATCCGAAGGAGGAGCCAGGGATCATCCTTGGCAGCTGTGGGCTGCTGGTTGTAGTGAGCTGTTGCAGAAGGAGCCCTGTTGTATAGCCAGCTGTGTCCATCTAAATCTGATGTGGCTGTGGCTCACTAAGGCTACTATCATGATTGTCCCACACAGCTAGGTCATCAGTTTTGATTTTCAATAGTTCAATCAATAACCACCCAGAAATAAGACACCTATTCCTTTTTTTTGGAAATTGCTGGATAGCTTTGTAATGTGGAGTCAGGGATCCCCAACATTCAAGAGCCTGGGATGTGGAGGCAATGCCCTTATGGACTCCTAGTGTCTGTGCTGTGCATGACGCTGCTCTGCAACACACATTTTCACTTTGCAGCATAAGTCATAAATTGCACTGTATCAAAGAATTTCTTCTCCAAGGCAGAGACCCAAGGGTAAGGGGCCTCAACTCACAGCCAGAGGATGAGGCAGAGAGAGACCCAGATAGGACCATGTGTGACGCACCCAGGTTCACTCTGGAGCATGCTGTACTAACGTTCTAGACAATTGTCAATCTAGTTAAGCAGACAAATCAGGATGCTTGAGTACATGAGCCCTGCCACATAACAGCTGGGCTCCACTCTCATGGTATACAGGCCTGGGAACTAGTGGCATTTGCACACACTGTGCCTGAGTAAGGGTGGCTGTGACCACTGCAGGCTGGGTGCTGGCCTCAGTGCTCAGTCTGTCTTGTCCATCTGATTTTGCCCTCGTGGAAGTCTTAGACTGGACCCAGAGGACTCAAGAGTTTACCCTTCCCTGCTAAAGTGGGACAGTCAGGGGGAGTCATGGCTGTGCATCAGTGTTGAGTCAGTGGTGGGTCACAAAGGGCCTCAGGGGCACACAGCCCTCCTTCATGTAGGCAGAATGAGCCTGGCAAGTCTCCTAACCTCTCTCTCCAACAGTCTGTTGATGTTTGGTGTCCCTTATAAACAATGATTGTTACCTGATGTGGAAGTTGTGTTGTCTCTAGAAGTTTGAGAGTAAGAGGTGCATTAGTGATGGGGATCACTTGAGTATTAATTAGATCTTTTTTTCAGGTGGTATGAGAGTAAAGGATATTAAATGTATATTTGGAGTCAGTGTAACTGTTTGTGATTTTGTCTTTAGTAAGTGTGAGGGCCCATGTGAGGGCAACGGTGGGGGCCACTAAAGCTGAATACATGGGCAGGGCTGCAGCATTCCTGGGGCATGGCTCAACTGAGAACAGAAGTGCCTCAAAGTGCAAGATAGGCTACAGCTGAGGACACCTGGCTCCAACCCCAATTAATAAGATAGAGACTGTAGCTGTGGGTATTTCAATCCTGTATGAAAGTCACCTGGAGACTCTCCTAGGCTAGTTCTCTTTAATTAACATAACCTATTAATTCTAGGGTTCCTTGAAGCACGCCTTAGGTCCTGCTCAGGTGTCCTGCGTTTTCCACTCTAACTTTTTCCTTGTTTGAATACGAAATATATATAGGTCACCTAAAGACTCGCGAGCTCTGCAGTGGATTTTACAATCTCCCGGAGTCATAAACTTGAGCTAATTGGAATTTTAGCCTAAACGAGTGTGTCTGCCTGGAGTGGAAAGGCTGGGTAGGAGGAAGGCCTTCCCAAGATGGAAACTTCACCAGGGACCCCTGGAGAGGACAGGGAAAACAAGGGTGAGTCTGTGCAGTGAAGAAGCCATTTTATCTAGGAGTAAACATGGAGTAAAAATTCTCAGCCAAGGAGCAGAGGTGCACATACTGCTGCTCCAAAGCCTATCTAAATGCCACAGAAAGACCTAGCAAAGATGTTGAAAGAAGTACCTAAATACAATCCATGTTTTGCTCAGACAAGCCCTATAGATATTGCCAACTGGGCGGGAGCTGGAAAGAATCTTAAAAAGGCACAAAGCACAGGAAAAATCCTGTCCCATGAGACATTCTCAAGTTGGAATCTGGTTCATTCAGTTTTGAGTTCCTTTAAGAGTTTGCAGTCAATAGCCTCAACTTGGACCTGAAGGAAAGGAAAGAGCCCGCAGCAAGGCTTTGTGCTGTGCTTCTGCAGGATCTTCTTTTTCTTCTCTTTTTATTGTTTATTTTTTTGTACTGGGAGGTTGAACTCATGACCTCCCTTTTGCCAGGCAGGTGCTTTGCCCACTGAGCTGTGTCTCTGGCAGTGATTAGTTTTGGCTTTTGTGAAGATGTTTTGGGTGGTAGTAGGCTTGTTTGCATTGCTTTAGATACATTGATTATAGACACTTTGATGTCTTTTGAGTGCTTGTGTTCTTTGTGTTGTCATCTGTGATCTGAGTATCAGAAGCTGTAGGCACAGGAATACTGGTAACGAGAGGGAAGGGAGGAGCACTCATTTGTATGACCACATATAAATGCGGCCAGGGGTCTCATCAGTGATGGGAAGTAAGGTGGCTGTGCTGAGGGAGCAGCTAGCCGAGATGTTGATTATAGGGTCTTGCATTAGTATTAAGTGAATTAGTTCTAGGTGAGAAGATGTCATTAAGGCAGGAAGTGCTTTGTGTGAAATACAGTCATCAGGACAATGGAGTGAGCAGACTGTAATGGATTGTTTTAAAGTGAATTCTTTGGTCTCTTATATTTGTTTGGCTGCTGAACCAAGGGTTCAAAGGCAGGAGGGCCATCTCTGTATTGTGTCACCTTGCTGTGTTGAGGGGTAGGCTAGTGCTTGGAAAGAAGCGTGTGTGTGTGTGTGTGTGTGTGTGTGTGTGTGTGTGCATGAGTGTGTGGGTGTGGGTGTTAAATCTCCTAAAGCAATATGACCTTGGAGGTAGAAAGCTCACACTCTCCAACCTTCCCTTCCCTTTGGGCTGTTTTCTGAGGAATGTGTGATAGTTTGATATTTGTGGGAAGACAAGTTTCCAGTCCTCTTTTGTTCTTAAGTATGCTGGCCCCAGTAAGAACTCAGAGGATGGCATCCCTCCTGTTCTCTCCTCCCACTAGCCTCTGCACCTGTGCAGCACAGGCATCCTTGAGCCTGCTCCCTGCCACCATGTGTCAGCACTTTCCTCTGAGAGGCAGGCTGAATGGAGGAGAGGAGGGTCGGGGCTTCTCCCTTCTCACCCCACACCAGGGATGGCATCAAGACTGCTGTGCCATGCACTGGAAGCTTCTGGTAGTCTGTATACTGTGCTGCACATTTCCTAAGGCAGGTGGTGTGGTTTTTGTTATGTGACAAGCTGTTTGTCTCACCTTTGTGCGATCAAGTCGCTGGCCACTTGTTACAGAATATGGGATGTCATTCTCCTCTGCAGGAGTCTGGAAAATGGCAGTGACCACTCCTCCTCAGCTGTGCTGGTCACTCAGTGCTGTGCACAGTTCTCTTCTGAGGCTCTGCTGTGCATCATTCACTGCAGGTGCAAGTGGACCAGTTGTTCCCTTGCATGCAGGTTTTGTCCTTGTACTTTGAACATGTGCTGTTAGGTGCTGGCTGTGTATTTACAATGCCAACTTTCAGGGCAATTCATTGCTTTTGCCATGGAAAGTCTAGATCCTGCAGACTTTGTGCCTCTAATGAGAGGCATAGTCAAAGCTGTTGTATAAACATTGCCGTAGACTCAGAATGAAAGCGAGAGAAGGTTTTGCTTCATGATCCAAATTTTAACAGTTGACTTTAAAGAATTAACTGGGGATATGTGTAAGATATATGAGAAAGTCCATCACTGTCATATTATTTTTAACTGTAAAATTATAAAAAAATAACCTCAATAAGCATTGGTATATTTACAATCATAAATCAAGAAAAGCTAAGATGTTCCCCAGAACAATGTTTAATGGTGCAGGCCAAGGTTCACTATCTGTATGAAGTGGAAAGTCCCATCAGTGGGTATGCACATCGGTGTATGTGGCCCAATTCTGGGTTGCTATCAGGGCTGGCAGGTGTGTGTGTGTGTGTGTGTGTGTGGTAATAATTAACTGTGTGCGTTTTCTAGTTTACTGTATTTTCAATTGTCACACAAAAATAAATGCTGCTGTAACAGAGGAGAAAACTTTTCATTCTTTTTCTTCTTTTTATGTTTTATTTTATGTTTTGTTTGTGCTAGGGCTCAAACTCGTGACCTCTAACTTCCAGACAGGCACTTATGCCACTGCTCTAAATCCCTGGCCAAGGAAAGGTATTTTTGAAAGGGAAAAATTAATGTTTTCCTAGTATTTGGAGTTTTTAGAAAATAACACTTTTTTTTGAGACAGGTTCTTGCTATGCAGTTCAGGCTGACTGTGAACTTACTACGCAGCACAGACCGGCCTTGAACTCATGATGATCCTCCTGCTTCAGCCCCCCAAGTTCTGGGATTACAGGCTTGTACCACCACACCTGGCCTCACCTCCATCTTTTGAAAATTTTCCATTTGACCACTGTCTTGTCTGCCCGGGTCTCTTGTCTCCAGGAAGTCCTCTGTGCCTGGTGCCACTTCTCATGGCAGCCTTGGGTCTGCCTCCCTCAACAGCCTGCTGCTCTGTTTCCTTGCCTGTCTTCCTCCTATACCCACAGCATGTGGCAGACACAGCCCCACTCAATAAAGCCCAAGCTGGTGGGCAGCACTCTTCTTCCTCACCTGAACACAGCTCTGCATTTTGGCCTAGGTCATAGCACCGCACTGGTCCCTCCGAGAGGCATGGATTTCAATTTCAGCACCCTTCTTTCCAAGATTGGGGAGCAACTGAACAGCGAAGAGCTCGATGCCCTCAAGTTCCTGAGCCATGACCACATCCCACAGCAGAATCAGGAGCCCATCTTGAATGCCCACATGCTGTTCCAGAGACTCCAGGAAAAGAAGGTACTGGTGGAAGGTGACCTGTCCTTCCTGAAGGAGCTGCTCTTCCAGATCAACAGGCTGGACCTGCTGGGCACCTACATGAACACCAGCAAGGAGGAGATGGAGGCTGAGCTCCGGACCTCTGGCAAGGCCCAGATCTCGGCCTACAGGTGAGAGCCAGTCCTTGCAGGACCAGAGCCTCAGGGCAATGAGACAGCTTGGGGCCTGTTGGGCAGCACTGTGTGTGGGCTGAGTCTAGAAACAGAGGGGTCTTCCGTGTAATCCAGAGCAAAGATGCTAGAATCATGAGGTAAAATTAATTATTCCAAGTGAAACCTTACTTACCAGTTTGTCAAAATTAAAAGTTTCTCTAGATGTTCTCATTCCTTCCCTCTGTCCTGCACCCTCTTTGGTGTCCATGCCTCCTGATGGCCCTGCTTACCTGTGTTTGAGGGTTTCTGTCTCCCACCAGAGTGCCAGTGCAGTGGAATCCACAGGATTCTGAGTCCACACTTAGAGCCTCAGATTCTGCTGTCTGCAGAGGTGACAACTTCAAGGCCATCTCAGCTGCCTGTGGACATAGGCCGCCTCTAGCCACAGGCTACAGAGCTCAGCCTTTCCCTGGCTGTGTGTGCTCCATGGGCTCTGTGGCATCTGTGGACTGAGATACAGGCCACTGATAGTGACAGCTTTATGGTCCCTGAAAAGCCTGTCACCTTCCCTCTTTCATGTTTCAGTTTCAGACTCTTTTGCTGTAGTTTTTAGTGTTCACTTTCAGGAGCTCTCCTCCTCAGCTTCAGCCTTGGGCATGTCTTGCTCACTGTGGCAAGTGCCATGGTGGTCTCACCCCAGGGTAGACAGTCATTGTCCTTTTACGCCCCCTGCTGGTGTCTCTGGCATGGCCTCACCCTGTGTGGACTCCTGTGACAAGATTTCTGGGGCACTGGTTTCCTTAGGCTTCTGTGACAAAGTGCCACATGTTTGAAAAGGTGCAGGAAGTATATTCTCCCACAGTTCTGGGGCTCAAATTCAGACATGCAGATGCCGGCAATACCTTCGAGGAGGCTCCCTCCTGGCTGCAGTCCTTGCTGCTCCAGGTGCATCCCTGAAGTCCCGGCCTCCCTTCTGTGTCTCTATGATTCTCTCTACCTGTGTGGCCCTGGCTCTGGCCTGTGCCCAGATTAACTTAGTGTTACTTACTGAAATTTTATCTGCAGGGACTTTTCCACAATACATCATGAATCTAGACTTGGGCCAGGCCTGGATCCTTGCAGCAGGAAGGACCTTTTGAAGTATAATACTCCAGAACTAGGAGAGTGGGACTGTGGGCTCTCATCTTAGCCTTCATGCTTGGTCCTGTGAAGACTCCATTCTTGCATGAGTCAGGCACAACAAATGGCTCTCCTAGCATCGTCGCACCCTCTGGAGCAGGGCAGAGTCTCCAGGGGTGCAGGGTCCATACACTGCACTCATATCATGGTTTGGAAAATCAAGGGTCAGCCCAGGAGAGGCTGTGGGGAGAATGAGCCCCTTCAGCACTATGGAGGGAAATGTCAACTAACACATCACTGTGTAAATCAGCATGAAAGTCAAGAAACTGAAGCTGGAAATCCCATATGACCCAGCTTTTACTATTAAAGGTATCTTCTCAAGAGAGTTAAGAGGCATCACCATACCTTGAGACATGCACCCCGAAATTATAGCACCAAACTCATAAGAGCTACAGCTTGGGCATGTCTGACTGGCTCAGTGGAGATGAGAGACCCAGGTCAGCACCGCTGTGCTCGAGTGGGTGACAGATTGCAGGCAGTCAGCATTCAAGAGTGTCTCTTCCTCCCCACAGGGTCATGCTCCTTCGGCTCGCAGAAGATATAAACAATTACGACTTGAAGTCTTTTAGATTTCTCCTGTCTACCAACCTTTCCAAGTTTAAGCTGGATGACATGGTGAGACCCCATCTCTCTTGAGACTGAGTCCTAAAGGGCCTCCACCCAGAGTTCCTGAGGCCAATGAGGGGCAGAGTTGCAGTCTAGGCCCTTGTGAGGGTGGAGTGAGAAGCAGTAGGAGCAGGTGGTGTGCAGCTCAGCTGTGTGGGACTTGGCTGAGGAAGGGTGGTAGCCTGAGAGTCTCCCTCTGAAGTGCTGGAGACAACTCCACATGCATGTGGTATATGGCTTTGTGTGTATTTCTGTTGTGTGTGGTATGTGTGTCCATCTCTGTGCTTTATGTTGGCTTTATGTGTCTTATATGTATGCATGGTATACACTGCATGTGCAGCGTGCCTAGCTATTGGAGACCCTTTTTACAGTGCCAGTTATCAGGGACCCCTGCAATGTGTCCCAAGTCTCCAACTCAAAATTACAGTGTATTGTGGGAAAGAAAAAAAAAGGGACAAGAATTGTGAGAATATAGGACTATAAGACAATCAGTGTTCTTGGGAACGGAGACGCCAAATCCCCAGCTAGCCACATTTATCCTGTTCAGGGGCAGGAGGAGGAGGGTCCTTTTCCAGGAACAGCCTAGAAGTAGTAGTTGAATGAGCAAGCAACATCCTGAAGGAACCGAGTTTAGATCTGTCCCCACGCCTGTGCTAGTCTCCCTGTACTGCCCTCAGCAGACTCTAGCCCCTTCTGTGAGCCTCACTGACCAGAGGACGTGCAGTTTCCAGACCCAGCACACCAGGCAGACAATGAGAACCTTGAACACCTCTGTGTCACTTTGTAACCTGTGGTGCCCAGCATGCTTCTGCCTCTGTATGTCTCTGTAGCAGTGTGTGTACATGTATGGGTGGATTCAGGTCTGGAGGAGGCTTGGGTGTCAGAGGCTGTGCTGGGGTGTAGGGCCATCTTGGGGCATTTCCACAGTGATTTCGCTGCACACTCAAACTGGATCATCTGCAACGTGTCCATATAAAGTCTTGAGAGCTGGGCCTAGGTAACGTGGGACTGAAACTCCCAACTTGATAGATGTCTGAAACACTGAGTTCGTATTCTCTGACATCAAGGAATAAATTCTCTGGGAATGACAGAGGGTTAAGAATAGGAAGAATTCATTGAGAAAGAAAGAATGCATTTGTCTGAGATGAACAGAAAGTGCCCTGCTTCTCAAGTGTGTTTACAGAGCAAAGCCAAGAGATGAGGCAGGCTGAAGGGGGGAACAGAACTATGATCAGTCAATAATATTACAAATATAGTTGCTTACCCCAGCCAAGGTGACTGCTGCCTTCTCAGAGCCTCAGTCACTGTGGTTCATTCCTAAAGAAATACTTGGGTTAGCAGGTCTTTTGCTTCAAGCCTGGCCTTCAGTGATGTGCGCAGAACCACAGCTCTTCTGTGTCACCCAGCCCTGTCTGCTGCCTATAATACTTCTACTAACTTAGCTGTCTATAATATGGGGAGCAAACCAGAGACTCCAAATGTGGCTTGTCTAGCCTTTTCTTTGTGGCCAGGAAGCATACAACTGCCTCTACTTCCCTCTGCCCCAGGAATGTGATGATCCAGGCAGGGTCTCTTGGGCAGTGAGATGGGCCTTTTTTGGGGGAGGGGAATTGAACACATTTCTGAGAGTGAATGTTGCCCAGTCAAGGTTTCTCCTACTTCTCCTTCCCTAGAACATGCTGGAGATCTTCATAGAGATGGAGAAAAAGGCCATGCTTGGGCAGGACAACTTGGACACTCTCAAAAAGATCTGTGACCAGGTCAAAAGGAGCCTGTTGATGAAGATCAGGGAGTATGAGGAGCAGCGAGGAGGTGGGAATGTGGCTGATCCATAGATCACACCATCTCAGTCAGCTGCCTCTACCTGCTGCTCCTCAGTGTGCTCCTGTTTTCTGGCCAAGCCTTTTGCAGGTATCTGCAGATGCTAAGAGCTTTTCATAAAAGCATATCAAATTGCACCTTCCTGTTTCTCAGAGGTTCTTTTGCTGTTTTTTTTCCAATGCATTTCACAAGTGGAAAATATTTTCTGTGAACTTTTCTACTTCAGAGACAAAAAGCTGGCCCCCTCTGTTGTGCTTTTTGCATTTGTTGTGAAAACTCAAAGTGTGAGGATAGTAGATTAAAACCAGAATATCTCCTCTGAAAAGTTTGCATGCTTGGCACCAGTGACCCCATGGAGAATGGCAATAGCTGACTAGTCTGGGCAGTGCCTGGTCAGACAGGACCCGGGCCCCTGCTGGTTCTGCAAGCTGTGTGCATGCCTTCCCATCCCTGGGGTGTGTGATGGATTTTCTTCCCTCTGCAGCACTCAATGCTGTTGTCTGCTCTATGGGCGGGGCTTCTGATGATGACTTCAGAGCATAACCAGCATCGTTGCCCATAGGTGAGAGAACAGAGGGAGTTGGTGTGGACACAGGTGTGAGAGGAAAAGCTTTGGGATAAAAATCAGTACATTACCTCTCTGATTAGCTAAATGTCCCAGGAGCACAGAAATTACAACTTGAAATAAGGTGAGCTTTCAGTAGGAAGAAGCTTTCAAATTACTCTGTCTCTTTCTAGTCAAATTTGCAAAAGTGGAAGAGAAAAGAGTAGCCAGCCCAGAGGAAGCTTCCATGCACAGAATCATCAGTTCCCAAACAGTCACCAGAAGCTGTGCAATTGGAGCAGATCTCAAAACACTGCTAGCCTTTTAGAAGAAAGCCTATTGTGACAAAATTCCAGCCACCCAAGAACTCCACTCATCATCAGCTCTTCACAAGAAAGCTTTCCAGACCTTCTCTAGGCCCACAGGTCTGCTTTCTCTGCCCACAGCTGTGAATAACAGGGTTTTGTTTATGATTGTCCTCTTTTCTTCCAGCTTTCTCCCAACATGCCCAAGTCACATTTATAAAGAGTGACAGAGGTAGACCTCTTAGGCCACCTTTCATGGCTATCTTCATTCTTGGTGATTTTCCTCTGCCTGCAAACAGAGCAGAGATGTATCACTGTAGATCCAGGGTAAGGTGGCGAATGTGGTAACGGGATAGGAAAGAGTGTGACTTCCTCCCTTCCTGAGGGAGCACCATGCTCATTAGTGGCAGTTGTTTCAAATCTGGTGAGATGTAGTAGTTGGGTCACTAAATGCCTAGCAGAGGAATGTCCTTTTCAGCAACTCAGTGTTTGCATTAGTGAGTAGTAACTGAGTGCGTCAGGTTTTGGCGCATGTGGATGTGCCTGGAGCCTATTGCGATCATCTCCACCCTGTAAGCTCACCTGTGCTCCCCTTTCTCCTTGTTCTCTCCTCCTCTCTCCTGGTCATCTGTCTGCTTTCCTGATGTCCTAGAGGCAGAAAGTAGGTAACCGAAAACACTTTCTAGCTCTGTATGTGCTGGGCTGATTTTGCTTGACACAATGATTCCTAATGTTTTCATGTTTTTGCAGATGACAGAATTTCACTTTTTTGTGCTTAATATGATGATTATTGTTAATTTTCCTTTTATTACCAGTGTCTATTAATGTTACAAAATACTGGGTTTCAGTGAGTTTCACCACTACTCTCCTTCACTCGTTTCTGCCCTGCTTTGTCCCTTCCTCATCTCTCCTTTATGCTTTCATGTCACTTTTCTTAGAGTACACAAGTTAGGGGGAGCATGCAGTATCTGTCTGAGGATGGTTTGTTTTGCTCAGCATGATAGACTGTGAACCCATTTATTTCCTTTAAGATGTCAAAATGTCATTCTTCTTTATGGCTGGATAATACTCCATCGTGTATGTACACATTTTGTTTATCTGTTCCAGGGCTCCTAGGAAGGTTCTGTCTTGGGCACTTATTATAATTTGTGCTGCAACAAACACATGGGGTTTCCAGGTTCCCTATGGTGTGCTGACTTCAGTCTTTCTGGTACATACCCAGCAGTGATACAGCTGAATCCAGTAGGAGCTGTTATTTAATTTTTTGAGCAATGTTCACTCTGATTTCCAGGGGCAATATTCTAGTTCACATTCGTATCAGAATTTGGTGCCTTTTGTTTTCTTATAGACAGCTGCACTGATGGTGTTAGGGGCACTCCAAGTAGTTCTGCCTTAGACTTCTTAGTGTCTAAATATGTTGCATAGGTTTTTTCATATACTTCTTGGCCATTTGTACTTCAATAAGTATCTGATCTGCTCGTTGGCCCATTTTTTGATTGGGGTATTTGGTTTATTGGCATTAAGCTTGTAAGATTTTTAATATATTCCAGGTCTAAATTCATTGTCAGAAGAGGAGCTAATGAAGATTTTCTCCCATTGTAGAGGCTTCTGCTTCACTCTGTTAGCTGTTTCCCTTGCTGTCAGAAATTTTGTAATTCCATGTGGTTCCATTTGTTGATTCTTGGTTTTCCCTGTTGTGTTGTGGTGCTTTCTTTAGAAAGTCTTTGCCTATGTCTATGCCCCAAGTGTTTCTCCTATGTTTTATTTTAACAGTTTCACAGTTTCAGGTCTTATGTCTATGTCTTTGAACATTCGTAATTGATTTTATACAGTGTGAAAGATGGACTCATCAGCAAGATTTTAAGCAATTTAATGATGCAACTCAAGGACTTTCTTTTTTAATAAGGTTGGCCAAATGTTTATTAATGTTGTTTATTCTCTTGAAACACCAGCTCTTTGATTCGTTAATTCTTTGTATTATTTTTTAGTTTTAGTTGCATTATTTTCTGCTCTAATCTTTACAAATTTCTCTCTTCTATGAGCTTTGTGTTTGACTTGTTCTTCCCTTTCTTGGAGCTTGAGATGTAGCATTATTTTATTTATTTGCACTCGTTCTGTTTTCTTGATGTGACTATTTATTGCTGTATATTTTCCTTTTAGGAATGCTTTCATTGTATCCCACTGGTTACAGTATGTCATGTGTACATTTTCATTGTATTGTAGGTATTATTTTATTTCTTCTTTAATTTCATCTGTTACCCACTGCTTGTTCAGAAGGTTGTTATTTAATTTCCATGTATTCGGGTTTTGTAGGGTTTTTTTTTTTTTTTGTCATGATCAAGAAAGTAACGTACCAACCCAACGTGGGACACCTACTCTGCCACTCTTTGTGGCAGGTACAAGGGTGTCTACCTTCTGATCAGACAAACAGATGGGAACAGGGCTGCAGGTTCCTTGAAGACTTGGGCCCAGGACAGCCTGCCTATCTGTATGTGGGTACAGTTCTTCTTTCTGCACTTGCCACAGGTGAAGGCATCCATCCATCTGTGTACCACCTGTGCGGGCCATCTGGTGCTCCCCGCTGGCCTATTTCTTTGATCATGGTCTTACAGATCTCCTTGAGCTTATCACTTCCCATGTCCTGGGGTGAGGGGCCATGTACTTACTTAGCCTGCAGCTCCACAGAAGCAGTGGCCAGTGCCTCCTGTGGGGCTCACCTCCAATGTGATGTCATCACCCACCATGATCTGATCTGATCTGCTGGGGAGTTATGGAGCCACATATGCAGTACATTTCTCTGAAGCTGTGGGTTCTTGGCAATCTTCAGGTTGAAGATACAGCTTTTTCCTTACTCACATAGTTCTTGTTCTTCATGGCTATGTTTCCCACATCCTGGAAGATGTGTGCAGCTGTTTAAGGACCCATCTAAGGCCAGGCAGGGAGCTGCACCCACCCAATCCTCACCCTGCAGGGGACACTCATGTGGTGAATACTGCCTGGCCATACATGGGTGGGCCCCTCACCAATTCCTGGTTGAGGGAAGTCCAGGCCTCCCCTACTAGCAGGCAAAAATGATCCCTTGGCCTATCCAGGGAGGAGGGTCCCGCTGGGACAAGACATCTCATTCACACACACATGCACACCCTAGGAACAGGCAGGATATGTATAGCCAAGAGAAGGTACTGGTACCTCAGAGTGGTGTCCAGCAGCAGCCAGCAGAGGGAACCAAGCCTAGTGGTCTCCAGACTCCATCTGAAGCCTCGGGCCCACCCAGGAAGCCCTGTACAAAGGATATACTCCTCAATCTGAGCCAACAGTCTGATGCTCACAGTCCACACCAAACAACTGCCACGCCATGTGGTCATGTGCAAAACAGAGAGAGCCCTCACTACCATGCCATTGGCTTCCCTGCTAGCCACTCTTCTGCCTGGACAAGACAGCACCCCCTGGTGGGTAACAGGCATACACACATCCTCAAAGGCACTGGCAGGATCCAGGTGCTCTGACAACGCCAAGGAGCCTCTTCCTCCCTGCCTGCCATCTCCCAAAAGCAGGACAGTAGCTAGGGAAGGCTGTCTCTGCAGTGGAGGGAGGGCTGTGCTGTGCTGTGCTGTACTGTATGATACAGAAGGGCAGGTCAGGCCAGGGTGCCGGGTACTCACAGCTCCGGTTTGCAGGGCAGTGGTTAGCATCTCACTGCACTAAAGTTGTTGCATACAGCATCACAAGTAATATACACCAGAGGAAACATGGTGTGATCCTTGGGGTAGATGGCATTCTGGGCAGCTAGCTCCAGTCTCTTACATCTGAAAAGAGACAGGGAACAGAACTATGGGAGTAATAAAACTCAAAATGTATCAAGTTTGTTGTAAAAAAAAAGGGGAAAAAAGTGCTTTAAAGGATACAACTGCAAGTGTGGATAGATGATCATATTACGGAGTTTTTGTTGGATCACTGAACACAACTGTTTGCAGTCTCACTGTTTGAATGTCGACTTTGTATGCTTTGATCCTGTGACTTGAGCAACTATTTCTAAGATGACAATGCATAATCTATTAACTGGTGATTTCTTACTGGTTTTTTTTTTTTTTGTAGTCCTGTATTACTTGTATGCTTACACTGTTTTGTCTTTTTCTTTTTTTTCCTTTAAAATAAAATAAAATAAAGAGAAAAGGAACAAATACTGGGCTCAGACGCAAGGCCACAGACAATCCCAGGAAGAGGCCAGTCCCCACAAAAGCAGATGTTACCCTCTCTCCACTGGGAGCCTTCACCTCGGAACTTGCCTTTAAAGTGACAGACGTATACCAGGTGCCCCTTCCACCCTCCCACAAGCATGTGGTTCTGTGTATGAGTTGGCTGCAGTGAGAGGCCAGGAGTTGAGGGCTGCGGGAGAGGATCAAGAAAAATGCACATTCTCCCTGCATGCCCAACCCACTCCTAGCGCAGCTGGCACCATGCACAAAAAGCCTCCACAGTGCACAGAGTCCACCACTAACTTTCTGGCCCAGATATCCCACCAGCATCTAGTGCAGGTCCTTAGGACGGAAACCCAGCGTGCGTGGCATGCCAGCAGTCACAATGCCATAGGGGGCTTGCCGTAGCGTGGTTTGGTACCAGTGAGCCCCTATCTGAAGCCTGTGGAGAGCTCTCTTTTCACACCGAGGGTGGAGGTCATCTCACCCCATGCCACATGCACAAAGGGCGGGCACCCTGCAGCCTGTTCCTGGCCTGCGGGCTGTGGCAGCAGGGACACCAGAGCAAAGTCCTGGCATTCAAACTGCAGGGTGCTGGGGACGTCCTGATAGGCTGAGGCCTGGGGAGCCCAAAACGTCCAGGACCAGTCAGCAAAAGGCGATGGTTCAGCCTGAGAGCTGGGCTAGGCTGCCTGAAGGTCGCATTTCTCCCAAATGTTTTCTCTGAGCTCTCTGTGTGTTAGCGCTTGCTGCCGGGAACACGTGGCCCAGAGTGTGTCCCATCGCAAAGGTGTTCCTCTAGCGCACCTCCCTCCCTCCTGCAGCCCAGGCCCTCGCTGGTTTCCCACGCTGGGGCCATACACCGCGCAGCTCAGGAGCTGTCTGGGCGCTTCAGCCTGGAGCTCAGCTGAGGACGTGCGTGGAGGCGTCTGTTGGGCTAAGTATTCTGCTCACGAACCAGATAGGAGGCACCTGAAATACTGTCGGCAAATGTGGTCGGGGAAGCACACAGAACAGCTCCAGATTCCCTGCTCACTCACAGAAATGATTCCTGCCCTTAACTCCCCAGAAGGAGGCGAGAAGCACGAAGAGGGGGGTGGACGGGAGCTCACGGAGAGGCCAGTCCCCCAGCCTTTCGGAGTACACTCTTTAGGGAAGAGAACATGCGTGCTCCAAATGCAGAGGGGCTGCGGGCCTCGGACGCATCCACAGTTTTTGGTCTCAGGGGCCTTTGCGTTGGACAGCAAGATGTCAAATGCCTGAGGCGATGAAGACCAGGGGATACCCTTCGTGCCCTGTGCTTTTCGGGGTGCGTCCAGATTTTAACCTCTCTGGGATGTGTTAAGGCTTGTGTTAAATTGTTGGTGTTTATGGTGGAGGCAGGGCTGAGCGTGTTTACTCTGTCAGTTGCCTGTGCCCCACATTCCTCACAGCTCCCCGTTTCCCTCTCCAGCTTCCACCTCGGCCCCCTTGGAGTCCAGGGTTCCAGGCGGCTCCCGCTTCGGATCTCTTGTCCCACAATGCGATCTGGCGGTCAGCAGCGAGTTCAAAATTGAGGATGGAGAATTGTGAAGCTTGTGGACAGGTTTACAAGCCCTGGGATGGTTTCTTAAACACGTGACCTTCATCTGTGTGGTTCTGGAGACAGAGAGGCCGCAGAGATGGGAGAGGAAGGAAAAGGGACACAGAGTCTTCCTTTGTGGAAGACTTCCATTCTGTAGCCCCCTATGGAAATCCTGCCCCCTAAGCTGTGAGGTTCTGGTTGCTCCCCATTGAAGAAGTGGTGAGAAAGGGCAAGGAAAGATCTGACTTCAAGAGGAATACAGTGCTCCCTAATTCCAAACAAAGCAAAAGTATCTGAATCCACTCAGATCAGCCAGTACCAGAGTGCTTGAGAAGGGCGAGATATTTATGGGTGTTCCTGTGGGGACTTTTGGCTGACCATGTCATGGGTGGTGGGGTGGAAGAAGCAGCTTATCTATCATCCAGTGTGTGGCTTCCCCAGCCAGGTCTGTGAGGAATTGGGGAAGAAAGATGAGGTGCTCAGAGAGGTGTGATACACCTACTGCTCCTCAGAGGGAGAGAGCCAACCAGTGAGGGCCCAAACCTGTGTGTGTGAGCCACTCTCTTAGGTACTGCAGGAAACTGTGTGCAGCTCAAGTGTGCATGTTTGATGACCACTGTCTGTGTACCTGAACAGACCTGAGCTCAGAGCAGCTGACAGACAGTTAAGAAAAAGCCCTGCCCTGCAAAGTCTACCAAGTAGCACCTGGGACACTTGGGGAGCTTCTTGTGGGCCACTCTTCTCAGAGAGTGGATCCTCAAAGTGTTTCATACTGGAAGTGATACTCAGTAAGTAATTACGGTCTCTGCACTCTAGAAGCATAGGAATCCCAAGCCTAAAGTCATGCTTAAAGGCAGGCCCTGAGATGCACTTTATCGCTGCTTCTTAACATGTGCTGCTCCTTAGAGGCCTTTTTCAGTGAAGCCTGCAGTCTTCATGTCTATCTCACCCAGGCTTACTGGCCTGTACTGAAACACAACTCCCCCTACCCACAGGGTGAGTAACTTTGGAACAAAAAGCAAAAACTGTTGTATTTATCTTACTAGTCAAAGTGGCTGGCTGTGACCTTTAAAAGTTGTGGTTGCCTAGGAAACCAAAGAGTTTCAAAATATACTACATCTACATAGAATACCACGCAGCTCCCTGCCTAGAAGACTGAGGTGCAGCAATGGTACAGTCATTATTAAAGAGATCTTAGGTCTCTCAGTCAGAATTTCTGTGTAGGATGAATTGTAACTAAATGCTCCACTTTCCTAATGTATTTTTATACATTTACTGATTCTTTCAGCTACATTTATGGAGCACAGGCACACTTGCCACAGCTAAATACATACAGGAAATATCCTACACTTTGGAATGTCTTAAAGCTAATGCAGAATGAGCCCTCTGATGAATTATGAAAAAGATGAGCATTACTAGATCAAAATGCTTTATCACTTTATCCTGAACATTCAATAATAATTGCTTCTATGAGTCACAGAGTTCACTAGGAACCATGGAAGATGTTTTAAAGGCAAGCCAAAAGACAGAATATCTGTCCACAAGAAACTTGACAAAGAAGTAAATATTTGTCAAAGTCCAAGTCAAGAGAATTTTGGCAAGAATGTAATTGAAAGCTGAAGGACTAATTTGGAAAATAACTTGGGAGGACATCTATTGAGATAGAGGAATAAGGAGAAAGACATTGGTGTAACCTAATTAAAGTGCCGTTATCCTGTTCTGTAAGCGTCATTATCCTGACCTGTGTTTCAACTCTTGTTTCTTGTGAATTATACTTTTCCAGAAATGCAATTTGGTCCTGGAACCCACTTGATTATAATATATTTGCTGACCGTGATTGTAAAACACTAGGTCCCAGGACCAATTGGCCCTGGTTGTAAAACATTTGGCAGATATTAACTCCCTTTTTGTATAAGCTCCCTCCCTTTTCTCTTCTTTGAGGTTTTACCTTTTAAAAACCCTCTGTAACTGTCTTAGTTACTTTTTACTCATCGCTGAGACAAAATACCTGAAGCCCAAAGTTGGGAAAGGAAAGGTTTATTTCTTACAGCTTTTGGAGGTTTCAGTCCACACTCAGTTGGCTCCAAGACAAGTGGGCATGGCTGGACTGCAGTTCATGGCAGCCGCCAACAGCAAGCTGGAACCAGCAAAGAGAAAGACATACCTTCTTCCTGCCATTACATCACATCCTGGCTCCACCCCTATGTGGGTGGAGCACTGACACCATCAATCCATGCACTAGGCAATGAACCAATCACAAATACACAATGCAAACCCATGAGGCTTGGGGGATACAGACATAAACCGTGACATTCCACCCCTGGCCCCCAGAACTCATATACATCCTTTATACAAAAGACATTTAGTCCACCTCCAAGAGTTGCCAAATTCCTAACAGCTTCAGCATTGCTGAAAAGTCCAAGTCACAAGTCTTCTCCAAGATCTATGGTAAACTCATAACTATAACCCCCTGTACAAATGAAGCAAGGTTAAACATTACTGAAATGAAAAGGCACAAGATAAACATTACCATTCCAAAAGTTACAAACAGGGGAATATAAAGCATTGGAAACAAAGCAAGTCCAACATCCAGCAGGATGAATGTTAAGTCCTAGAGTTCTAAGCTCAGCATCTGAAGCAATCTGGTTGCAAGCTCCAAAAGCCTTGGGTGATTCCACCCCCAGGGCACTTCCAGTGATTGCAACTCCCGCAGCTTTTCTCTTAAATCTTCTCTGCTCGCTTTTTGCTGCTTTCCTTGTATCATCCACATTCCTGGTTTTTCCAAACTTGTGGGGTCTCCACAAGTGCACCTTTGGCTTCATACTTACATCTTCACAAATTGCCCTCTCAGGGGCACAGTGCTTGGCCAGCCAGGCCCTTTGCAATCGAGGTGGAAGCCATCTTACCCTCAGAATTTGTGCATTTTCCTTGTACCTAAAATCAGCACCTTGTGGATGCCACCAAGGTTTGCTGCTAGTTGAAGCAGTAGCCAGGCTTTTCTCTGTCTTGGCTGTAGGGGTCAGTTGCCTGGATTGCAGGGCTCTGTTTACCTGATTGTGAGAAAAAGCTTCTCTATGTTGCCGCCATTCTGGAACCTCATGTGGCCACTGTTGCCACTCTGGAACATGGCACTCTGCAGCTTTTCCCTCTGAGCAAATTTTTTCACCTTTGCTGTGAGGCTGTACAGGTTGGGGACCCACTTCCTGGGATGCCCTGGGGCCATCTTATCTCTCTGTTTCTCCTCAGGAATCAAAATCTCAACTCTGTCTTTACAATCCACAGCCTTCCTGGAATTTTCCTTCAGGCCAAACTCACAGCATTGTACATTATCCTGCTGGGCTCTTTACTCCTGATGTGAAACATAAAGCTGGCTGAAAGCCCCCAACAATATCCATGCCACAGCCTCAATGTTCGATTGCTTTTTAATTTCTTTTTCAAGATTAATCAGTCCATTGCCCTGTGTCTCAGTCTCAGGCAAA